GAGACGTGTTCATCGACGTCAACGTCAACCGACAACACTGCAAGAATTGGCCGTGGAACTGCAAGAGGAGTGAGTCAGATTGCCCTAAATCGTGATTAGTAGCATACCACGACGAATTGCGGAATGTCTGAGGATTGGTGGAGCAATTACTCATTATTAAAACAAAAATCAAAAACGTCCATTTTCACTTTTGACAGTGTATCTCTGCGAGTGAAATGGGGCCGTCAGATACGCCGCCTATATGAACCGCGCCGTCCCGCCATTGCTGCAAGTATTTATGACTTTACGGTTTAATCCTTGTAGTTTCCAGCAAGTGATTGGAATACTCTAGGAATCCACCATAATACAGCTTGTAGGATTGTACATCGTGTAACATAAATCAATTTTACATTAGATTTAAGATGTTTCATGCATAAGGGTCCTGCGCCCTCCTCACTGAACCACCGTGGCTCCAGCATGTATTGGAGAGTTTTATTCAATTTCAATACGCTACTTGATTTACACTCCTTGGTCTTCTCACATATGATTGCTGAATTAAAGATGCATTATGTAAGAGGTAAATCTACCTATTGCAGGTCTTTATTTTGGCTTAAAAGTTATATAAACTATTTTTTAGAAATTTATTCACATGACAAGCCTATAATCAACTCTCTAGATAATCGGATGCCGAAGAGTTATCATTATTTATTGCTTGTACTTCAAGACACTACCATTTGAGTGAAAAGTGTAAGTTTGATTACCGTTATGTTTGATTTTTAAATTATTTTTTTTGTGAGATATCATCTTGTCTTTGTCCATTCGACACAAGCCAGATTATTTCGGGACTAACATTTTGTGAGATTTTATTTTGTGTGTAGGGGTCTTTAGTATTGGGGGAATCCGGGGGACCGGGGAAATCCCACCAGGTTTGCCTGGCGACCCTTTTCCTTGCCAGATACACACTCGGGGTCGAAACCTCGCCAATGACAGAGATTTTGATCTATAACGCCCGCGTTAGTAGAAAACTCGACCTCATTAGCAGAAAAGCAAGAGTTTAAAGCCGATCCCACTTCATCTCATTTCAGCAGTTGAATTCTGGCCTGTATACAGCAAAGAGGTTTAGCTGGTTAATTAAAGACAATCTAAATCTTGTATACTATATCGCACAGGGTATATGTCAATAATGTGACTCTCTTTTATATTGAAGACGATCTTATCATAGCGATAGAAACCTTGTAAGATCTTTAACTGGTTACCTGATTCTAACCCCGAGATCATAAATAAAGATGTAACATTATCTGAAACCCTAGACACTAATACCGAGGACGATTATGAAGACGACTTTAATCTTGCAGAGTTAATAATACGGCATATCTACATCCCTCAAGATAGTTTTCATACGCCATAAAATTGAATAATGCATACGCGGTGAAAATGTGGAGAAAATTTACGAGGGATAACCGAGATGAAGTTTATCCATTGTTTTTAAAGAGATTTCTCCAGGGGCACGCCATAACTTTGGTGGTGTAATGACGTGATGAGATGAAGGTATTATCTTTGTTCCCCAGACGTTTAAAATATAGCTTCGTCTAAATTAATATCAAGATTACAGAGTTCTTTAGCCATTTTTTTCTTCTAAAAGATAAATAATGACTATATGAATCGACAATTTTGCCCAAAGAAACCTATTATGGTTATAATATCATGATATCAATATTTTCGTATCGTCTTTTTTCTCCCTTATAAGATAAATAATGTTTAAAATGAGTTTCAAGTTGAAGAATTTTTATGCATATAGATTGGCAATTAATCGATATTTTTGCACACGGTTCCTATAAAGAATAATATGCCTACCAACGTCTACATCTATATTAAATTCAAAGCAAATGTGATATTAAATGCATCGCGTGCATTAATGGGGAGATCACTTACATATGACTACTCTGAATTAATGGTAGTTATTAATAAAACATGATTCCAATTGATGTCAGGAATGTTTTTACAAGGCTCTCATAAAGTTGCTATTACACCATGTACTATCTGGAATCAGGATTCCATCGACAACATGAGCTTGACTCATAGCCTTTAATGAGATAATAATGGTTGATAATATAGCACTTGTAATTTGTGTTGAATCCAGAAGAGGATCGAAGCTCAACATCATAACTTATGACATATAATTTTCAACCTAGTTGTTATATGAATCACAAGTCGTTATCAAGAACAGTTTTTTGTCTAGGCGTGGAGTATTTAAATATGAGGTATGCTTTCTGATAAGGCTTTGGAAGATTCAGAATCGTTCACCTTATTCGCAAAAATTAAAACCTCTATAAACTTAAACATATTAATGGTTTACATGATGAAATGAAACCAGGTTTAAAGTCCTGCTTTTCTTGCCCAGCTGGGCTAATGAAGGTCGGTTTACCTAATGAACGTTTTCGAGGAGTTCGCATAGCTGAAAAATATACTATTCAAAAAAAGTAGGGGATATTTGATTTTTAAGTGTTATTAAAGTCACCTAATGAAACTGACGAAGAAACAAATGACAAAATGAAATGAAGTTCACATTCATCGATTTATTCCAAATGATCGTTAGACTAAGTAAGGCACAGACTGACCATTATAAGGGTAAAATGATACCCGGGGTCAAACAGCAAAGTTACCACAGCATCACAACCAAGTCAGTAACGGGTAAATCCTCCTCTGTTTGCCAAACAAGCATTGATCCGACGTGGCATACTCCTAATGAGACGTCTACGGTCATTTTGGTCCAGATTGTCCCATTCCTGTTGCAACGCAGCAGCAAGTTCTTGGACATTGGCAGGACGTTGTTGACGTTGACGTAACCTCTGTCCAAGCATGTCCCAGACATGCTCGATGGGGGAGAGGTCGGGACTCAGTGCTGGCCAAGGTAATGTGGTGATGTTCTGTTGTTGGAGGTAACCTGTAACGATCCTGGCCCTGTGACATCTTGCGTTGTCATCCTGGAAGATGAAACGGCGGCCATGACGTCGTGCGAACGGCACAACATGGACTGCCAAGATGTTGTCCCGGTAGTACTGGCCTGTAACACGCCCTGCAACAACATGTAAAGCCGTTCTTCCAGCAACAGTGATGCCTCCCCACACCATAACAGAACCACCCCCAAATCGATCATGTCTGATGACGTTAACGTCTTGGAAGCGCTCGTTTCGACGACGCCACACCCTCCTACGTCTGTCCAAAAAATCAACAGTGAACCTTGACTCATCTGAAAACATCACATTGCTCCAGCGTCGATTATCCCAGTGTTGACGATCCCTACACCAACGACGTCTTGCCTGAATGTGATGATCTCTCAAACAAGGGATCACGCGAGGACGTCGGGCGCGAAGGTAACCCCTATGCAGTCGATTCCGAATCGTCTGGCCACTCACTCTCACACCAGTGTCTGTTTGAAGACGAGCGATGATCTGATTTGCTGTGATGACACGATTTCTCAAGGCCAAGGTACGGATAAATCAATCCTGGGCTTGAGTTGTCGCCCTTGGTCGACCTGAGCGTGGTCTGTCCTGTACAGATTGTGTATCACGGTATCTGGACCATAGCCTGCTTATGACAGACTGAGAAACATTCATCGTCCGCGCCACAACCGCCTGTGTTGTGCCGATCTGTAGCATGCCAAGGGCACGTAACCTTTCATTTTGGGTAAGCCGACGCATATCAAAATTTGTTTTCTGGTCACTAAAACAATTAAACTGATGTTTCCACCCTGGAATTCAATGCCACAATGACTGTAACATTCAAAGTCAGAGTCGTGCAAATCTTGGGTTGGACCCCCATGATGATCCCAAGCATCACCTGCATTCCATGCGGTAGCTATTGGTGCGTTTGGGCGTCACATGTAACTGGAAATGTTTCTTCTGTTAGGTTCTATAGTGACTTTTTTCGTAGTCATTTGCATATTTTAGTATTATGCCCCCAAAATCAAATATCCCCTACTTTTTTTGAATAGTATAAATTGCAATCTGTGCCAGGATATTTTTCTGCGGTTATGAAAAGTCATTGTCCTTAATAAACAGTGATTTCAAGTGGAAATTCTTCTTAATAGGGTAAAGTTTTAAGTTCAAAGAATAGGCCAATCGATCGTGTTTTAATTATATACGGCATGTAATATTTAATAGTTTAATTATTTTACAAATATAGAATAAGTTAAAGCTAGTTTACGCCATAGAATCGAATTTCAAAGAAATGAATATACTGGAGTTAGTTTATAAATAGAACATAAGAATATCAATCTTAAAGTGCAATCTAAGTCCGTATAGTAGTACATCTTCAAGTAGTACCAAGTGTTCCGTAAGTATACTATGTATCTTGAACGACACCATACCACTACATTATAATAACCAATAATTTGTGTATATACAGAAAATGTCAGTGTGAAATTGAATGGACCGACGAGGCTATGTAGTAGAACGTGTACTGGTGTAGGATACTGCAAAGGCCTTCAAAAAAGGGCATGTGTGGGGTGTGTTGTATCGTCATCGTTCCTGTAAAGGTTCTATTTGTCAGACATGCTAAGATCTTTGTTAGATTCAACATGTTTTCGGCAAGACGTAAAGAGGGGCACTACTGATTCGCATTTAGATATTCTTGGTGACTTCATCTTGAAGTTTTTATCGAAACCTGATCAGAATGTTTATTTGGTCCTTTATTTGGAAACAATGACGAAATTTACACAAAGTGTTTTCTCTGCAATTAAAACGTTCATTGTAGACAGAAATGAAGTTTTAGCGCCTTTGCCAACAAATTTTTCCTCTCTTCGTAAAGATATATCTTTGGGCTTTCGTTTACTTCTGCATGTGGGACTATATTCATGAATTCTCTTTCAATAGATAACAACTTTCCCTTCCACTATACGGAATGACATATAGACCATATCAGGAAATATTGTTTCATCAGCCATTTATCCCTTCATCAATAATATATTAGAATAGGTGGATACCATCAATTTTATAAAGGGTGATTATTATATTTTTCAGAAAATTCCAAGATGAAATCGAGAAAACATCTGTAATAATGTCATTAAATGATAGATGACCATTTTACCAGATTCCATAAAAGTAAGTTTTTCAAGATAACGGTATTTAGTCAGTCTGAAATGGAAAATTACATTATTATTTTTATTGATAAAATGAAAACTGGCTGAATTAAGAATGTCCCCAAAGGAATAGTGTATTTCTATTCTATTATAAGAAATGTAATTGGAGAACATAACCAGTTAATAGTCAAACTCGAGAGATTACCAACATTTACTGAACAGAATATTTAAATGGAATCCCACCTTTATCCTTAGTTAATGCAGACAATTACCAAAACAAATTATCCCCGCGTGACTTTTGATTGTTTGATAAAGACATACGAGTATATTATTTAAAATGAAATTGACATCGCAACGTGTTACCGTCGATGGAAGCCATTCTCAAGGTCTATAAATCAAGATCTAATAAAGAACAAAAACATATTCAGTCTCACTATATATTTTGAATTTTTGGAATGTTTTGTTTTGATCACGGTTCATTGTAAGTGTATTCAGGAACAATTTGGCGATCGGAATGCAGATCTTTGGATCAGACAATATAAAGCCTTGTTCAATAGGTCAATCGTTCTCCGTCCCTGGTCAGAGTTTAAATTTTGGGGATTAAAATCGACAGCCGATATATCACAAAACCCGCACGCTCATCCAATTTGTTTTTATACACACGCACATTTAAAGTGGACGTTTATTGTTGTCTCACGTTCATCCACGATATTTTGTGGATGCTATACAGGTCGGGTCTAGATAGTCGAACTATCTTCCCATTCAGGACGTTCAAGACTCGTAATATAAAAATCCCGTAAACGTCTTAGGTAACAGAGTTCTCAATAGTATCTTTTTACAAACATTGGTAGGATTGTTAACTGAGGTAGAATCACTGGGCTGTCGTTCCTTCTGCTTGCTTTTTAAGTCAAGATGACTGAAATGAGAAATTGTAACGAAATATTTGTACTACTAGACAACCTGTTGTTATCTTAACGCCGATGGCTCTTCCGTCTCTATATGAAATTATTATCTATAGTATTTAATTAAATTTCTAGGTTATAAATCACGATAAATATCAAAAAGATAGTTAATTAACGTCTACACTTTCATTACTGATACTAGACTTTTTATGTGTGTTGCCTCAAATTATCCCAAGGAGATCCTTTGATGGAGAAGTAAAAAAGCATTATAGATTATCATAGAATAATGACAGTATAAAAGATATTCTAATTAACACCAAAGTCGTGTAATATAAACAACATTTTTATACGCTCGTATTTCATGCCGGGGTGTACTGTCTACTAACAATTAATGTAACAGAAGTCAGAGTTTTTGAGAGTTATTTTTCAAACTTGTTGGAATGTTAGGCTAGTCTAAATGATAAACCCTACTGAAAGGTTTTTTGTTCAGGACTTAACGCTCCAGCCATCGCAATTTTGTAAACGCTATGTGTCAATGTTTAAATACTAGTTTTCCAAATGTGATTGAAGTATTTGGCTAGTTTACGGTTATTTTGAACTTGGTATTATTCAAAATACAGCATATATTTATTTTTAGTTTGAAAGTGATAATGACTTATTAACCTTTGAATATACAAACCGCCAGAACTGGCAAGGAAATGAGAGGTCATGTTTTATATACTATAATTGAATTTATTTAAAAGCCGCTCCTTTTCTCTCCTTTTAAAATGTCAATATGTTCTGGTCGATGTGTTCTGAATTTTGTTTAAATTAACCTTAAGAAAAACTCTAAACATTTGAGATCTTAAAAGCTCTGTGGTTTTTCTTTCAGATTGATGTAACGGAAATGATATAATTTACTGACGTTTGAAAATGGAAAGAATACCGGAAATCCCATTCCCTCCCTTTGATGATCCGGAACCAAAACCGGTTACAAGTAATGGAGATTTGGGACATTCTGAAAGTTTTAACCTTTCATTGTCAGACAGTTTTGTCACAGCCCATGATGGTTCAACGATCTGCTCCGATCAATTTCGTAGCATGACCTTTGATAGCTTCAGAAGTTTATCTACCGACACATTCGTCACACCACCTGGCTCTGAAAGTTCACGCAGTCGGTACGCCGTTAGAGAAATACCGCGCACATTCCCTCGCACACCATCGGATGGCGTACCGGAAGATCAGACATTCCGTGATTCTTCCGACTCCCAACAGACTGTCAAGAGTGTCATACTCACTAACGGCAAGTTTGCTTCAGAATCCTTCTTAGCTAAAAGCAAAAGTCAGAATTCTTTGAAATACGAAGCGAAACGAATGTCAAGTGGTAACCTTAGTAGTGTCAGCAGTTCCATATTTTCCAAGGGCAGTGACAAAGGCAAATCCAAAAACAAAGACAAGGCAGGGACAAGCAAGGCCAAAAAAGGCTCACGAATATCATTACCATTGTCCAAATCGTTTCAACATATATTCCGTGACTCTCAAATCATTAAGACTCCTGGCAGTACTATTACTACTCCATCGGACAAAGCAAACAGCACAGCCACCACTCCTGATGATAGATCTGAAACCAAGAAAAAGATGGGTGGTACAAGAGCTCTGCTTATTCAAAAGGTTTGTAAGATTTGTCTTTTAAATAATAACAAAAATGAGTATATTTATAATGCCGTCTTCATTTGTCCAGTCGGAGCAGAATATATATAAGACGTTAAATCCCATTTCATTTCATTTTTTTTTATAATGAGCTTCACTCTAGACCGTTAAGGGTCAACTCAAAGTGCGACAGAATTATTACCCCGGTCTCTTGGGTGCAGCATAAAACTGGATTACACCCGTCTACACTCATTTACAATACTTTAAGTCATATACCACCCTAAAGATTACATGGTTCATTATCAAACGAATACTCTCCAGACCCACGCATTCACTAAAACTAAACAACAACGACTTAACTTTTTAACGCAATATTTACATTGATATATCAGAAAATGGAAAGGGGTATTAAGTTCCGTATATTGCTTTCCGCCAGACATCTAAATCAAAAAAAAAGAGAAGAAATAAGTTATTATAGAAAAAGAGATACCATCCATAAGTTTCTTGGTCTAAAAACATCCGCCTTCTTTAAGACATTTATAAGAGATATAATATTATTAAGTGTGTGATCAGATACAATGTAGTCCCTATTATGACGTCTGGAAAACTAAGTCAACGCTGATATCATATCAAATATGATGAACTCAATAACAGAGCATATGGTTTTCCTCAAATTCTAATCGATGGCTTCAGACTACAGATTGAAGCTATAAAAGAGTTCCATTTATGGATGTGGGTCATTCCATATCAACTGGACCAATGGTGGGAACATGAACCCCTCCAAAAAAATTATAAAAAATATATGGTATAGTATATGGTCTTTAACTAACAAATTAGAAATTTTACATTTATGGCCATTTGAAATTAGGGTGCTGAAACGAATCATACATTCAGTAATTTTTGTCAGGTTTTCAGGCGCTTTAAACCCACATTTATAATAGGAGTAGAACTCTCTAATTTTGTAATTACGAATTAAGCATCACCCTCAATGTCCAAAATGTGGCTAAATGTGGAACAAATGAACTATTCACTTTTATTTTCAGGATTTCCACAGCCTCTGGCAAAGCCACTATTGTATACACAAACTCCAAAACGGGCATAGTTAGTGTCAGTTTGGCTTTTATCAATTTACAAAAGATTCTGAATCAATGGGATATATACTGTTCCAAATATTCAGTCTCGAAGCTTGTAAGAATTTTTGCTCTTTAAATTAAGGATAGCATTATATTGTGTTAATTAATATCTCTGGCAAGTTAGTAGATTCACATATTTGTACTTACATCAAGTTAGCGAATGAGTGACAGATGGTTACATAAAAAGAAGTCATAATGTGGTAAACATTCAATTCTAGGTTGATAACAGATATCTCATGGGAAGTTTCTCCAGTAAATAAGGGTGGGTTTCAACATCATGTGGCTCAATTAACCAATCTCTCTGTTATTTACATCATATTTGACCAATTAGATATTTGAAGGTCCAAAACCCAAAGCTACAAAACTGTCATACTTGTGAGAATTCGTCAGACAGCAGACAGATTCTGGAAGGGAAAAGATGTTGCAATTTCTATCAGTAAGAAGTAAATACACAACGTGAAGGGGAAGCAAAGACGATAGAAGAAATACAAGACGATCTTACTTCTAAGATATGTAGTAAGAAAAGATGCATGGGTCGTACGTAGGATATGGCGATCGGATTGGGTTCCCCGCTCACCGCGTCTGACAGAAGACCCATGGTACTACAAATTCAATGCACACTGAAAACGTACAGAATATACCCATTTTCTCCTTCAATTCTGGTCATGTGGGACGGAGGTTAACATTCTGAATAAGGTTGATAATGAAACTTCATTTACCCTACTATAATATACATTAAAGTCCATCTTGTGTATTTGAAGGCTTATATTTTTAATGGCTATCATCAAATTGTTGACTTTTCACGTTGATTTTAAAATGACCTATACCCCGCAAACGTGTGCATTGAATTTCTATACTAAATATTTGGAAAACTATATATCCTATCGACTCGGAATCTTTTGTAAATTTATAAAAGACAAACTCATATTAACTATGACAATTTTGGAGGTGGTGTATACAATAGTGACTATTCCAAAGGCTGTGGAAATCCTGAAAAAAAGTGAATAGTTCATTTGTTCCACATTTTGCCACCTGGTGGTACGAACTGTGTGAATCGCACATTGCATGTGATGCTAAATTTGTAATCTACACCAAAAGTTGCCTTAGATTACAAAGTTCGAGTGTTCTACTCCTATTAGAATTGTGGGTTTAAAGCACTCGAAAACCTGAAAGGTATAAATTTGGATTTGTTAGCTTAAGGCCATATAATATAACACATATTTTTTATAATTTTTTGGAGGGGGTCATGTTCCCAACTTTCCGACATTTGATCCACTTGACATGGAATGACCCATGTCTATTTTTGTCCAAATTATTAATTTTTCTTGTAAGTTTAAATGGTGGTATATTTTGAAGTATATGTGTACACAAAACGAATTGCTAGCAAAATAATCGACGCATTGATCGACAAGGAGAAAGTTAAATACATCGATATGGTATATGATACTTAGACAGAATGATAAATAAAAGCTTTAAATGTCCCCAGGGGATTGAATGACAATAGAATTTGATGAGTACTTATATTACTGAATTCTAAAAGGATTATTATGAGTTCTATGAATGAATGTGAGAATTTGATCTATTCTATGTCATCGGTAAGAGCACACCAAGTTAAGAATAAAATGTCGATCCAAAATGGCAGAATATATGATAATAGAGGTCTGAATAGAATCCTTATACTTTATTTTGTGACTCTCTTTTTTCATATATACAATAAATAACTCAGATCATTATGGGGAAACGCATATTGATTTATATTTCTTTATCTCTGTATGTAATTTGGGTGGGTGTCTCGATAGCGTCGTTACTGCCTACCCTTCATCGAATTGCAACTACAATCTTGTATGTACACTATAAATTTGTACACGGGACCTCGGTTTTTCATACCATTTAAAAGACTGAAACACTCTTTCCATATTTCCAAAACTGTTGTCAGATGTTATCTGTGAGAGTTCAATAGTCTCAGAGCTTTCTTCCATCTCCCTCTAGAGAAGATAATGATCTCGTGGTTAGCCTAATTAATAATTAATAATGGGTGTTTCATGCATGCACGTTTCATTATCTTTTATTTTCATATTATACAGGAGCCAAGGTGGCTAAGTGAGTAAACCTGGAGGTTCGATCCCGGTGTTGGCGGAGAAAGTACATCGGGATTTTCCGGCGTGCTTTCCCGTCAGTGGCGCTGTCTAGTCGTTCGGATGGAACGAAAAACCGAGACCCCGTGTACACAATGACGTGCACGTAACAGATCTCTTGGCAGTGGGAATACGATATAAGAGTAGGCGTATGCCCGTCTTCATTAGCCCAGTCGGAGCAGAGCAGTAGGGCGTTAAACTCCATTTCATTTCATTTCACTTTGAAATTATACAAGAATCGCTGTTTTCTTAAAGTTGATTGGGACCTTTAATGACAATGTGTGTTTTTTGGGCTATGAGATTATAAGATATGTTGTTCCAAAGGCTTCGGTCTTTATTAAGTAATAATAGCATCATGGTAAAACTTGGGAAATAATATTTATATACACAGTTATAACAAAAACTGTCAGATTTGTGAACTTGCTAAAGCATGGTTGAAAGAACAAACAATCTCTTTACCTTGTTCAAATGTGTTCATTTTACGTCTCAACCGACATCTAAGGCTAAATGGGGCGGTTTTAAGTTTCCACAGACTTCTAAAGCTAAATGAGGCGATTCTAAGTTTCCTCAGACTTCTAAAGCTAAATAAAGCGATTCTAATATACATTTCCACGGACTTCTACAGTTAAATGAGGCGATTCTAATATTTACGTTTCCACAGACTTTTAAAGCTAAATGAGGCGATTCTACGTTTCCACATTAGACGATATCTTCCATTAGGATTTCAGATTGTATCAATGACATTTAACAAATTTGGAAAGGAAAAATGTGGTGTGTTTTACTGGGCGACTAAGATGCTTACCAAATAATGGTGTTCGAATGTATATATTCTAAATATCAACGTACTGGCTTGTGTTTTGGTATAAAATATCACCGGCAAATTATCCTTCAAAACAATAATCATTATTTGGTTATAAGGAATCTACATGTTTTCGAGTACAACATGTAATAAACGAATGTCATATTTTTTAGTGTAAAAGAAAGGCCTATTTTATAAATATATTCGAGCCGAATATACCATTGAAGATCGTTAGAACATAACCCAACATCATCCATGTTATCGATTATATTATAAAATGATTTCTCATCAAAATACCGCAAACCCCTTTTTTTTCTGTTTTCGCAAAACGTACCTGAATTTAAAATAACACGAGCAGGTAAGAAAATCGGTATACTGTAAATAATTAAAACATTGACGTATAATGAGCGTTTTGCGATAAGAAATCTTATTATGATTAAAATTACATAAACGGTAGTATGTTTTCGATATTTGCCAACGTGAAAGTTTTATTTTTTTTATAACAACATTTTATTGGAAGTCCTATTCTTGTTCAATAATTGGTCTGTGGCAACAAATTGTCGATTCATGTTCTTCTCGGTATGAAAGTTACCCAATCTCATCAAATGAAAGGAGAAATCTATTGGTTTAAATTTCAAACGACGAAAATAGAACATTGAACTATGGTTCAGATGTCCATTGATTTGAATCTAAAATAAATGTGGGTATTCATTTCAAGAAACAATACAACATCCTGACAGAGATTCCATTTACATGATCGTATTTAATTACTTGCCCTGGAGTGAATGAGTTTGGAACAATTCAAATCGTGTGCAGATTACAAACGGTCATAAATGTCGTTCATGTTTTGCCTGTCAAAAATGTCGTTATATCTGTTTATCTCCATAAGAGTATTTCTGGATTGAAGTCAACCACGATGTAATAAGTTTTGGTACAGGAGAATAACTGGTCATA